TAATGACCTTTCATTCAGTAATGAAACCAAAGGTCATTAGATTTGATATTGTCCTTCGCTTAGACTTTCTTAACCATATTGGGTGTTTTCTCAAAACCCCTTTAGATTTCTTCTTAACACTCTTAGAGGAATCAATGGTTTGCCCACTACCAATTTTGATAAAGGGCTTAACAATCCTAAGTGTGTCAAGCAACTTAATGAGTATGCATTCGAGTTTATTCATATCATAATTCATAATTAATATGAATAACTCTATGACAGAGATTGCAGAGTTAAGTCAATACTTAGTTCATAGTTAATGATTGAACTCAATTGAGACACTTCTCATGTCAATCATCTTCAATACATGAGGATTGATTTAAGATTCTTTTGTCACTTTGCATCGATATAGTTGTTTGAAAGTTTCATAACCTTCCACACATGATTATTATCATATAACTCTTTGTAATGAAGAATTATGAGTTAACATCTATACTCTCAAGTTGCTTTTTTAACTCAGGTGACATAGTTGCAGGAATCATATATGTTGTATTACTATTATCATCACTGCGTTTATCATAGCAGCCACCTCTTCCTTAATCAGATCATCACCAGAAGTCCCTGAAAATGACTACTTAAGGACAACCAACTTTCTTATACTTGAGAACAATTCTCAAATTGCAGTGCCAATCAAGAAGATTTAATTTGGTTGTTGGCATCCAATATGCCTCTCAAATACACATGTTTACTCACGATTCAATAAATATAAAGGACGAAAAGGAAAAGAATAATATATAAAATGCATCAATTAATTTAACATGAATTTTTATTAAATTAGTTATGCTCTCACTGTTTAATTAAAATTTTTTACCCTTTTACATAAATTTATGGAGTCCATACTTGACTCTCAGTGGGCTGGGATCCCATCTATTATATTAAGACCTTGAGTGTACTCAACAAGTCTTAATATAACATTTGGGCAGATACTATTATCAATTGTATCTCCATACAACTCTCAAATTATTAAGCTGACAACTCTTTATTTTCACACATCTTATATGTTAGCTTAACATACCTCTAAAATTTATCTTATTGAGTGTACTCAACATAAAATAAATTTTAGTTAAATCAAACCCGTCATTCAGAAATATCAAATATTTCATAGTGTTAAACATATCCCTAATGGACCAACTTTGAGTGTACTCAACAAGTTGAGACGATTTGGGACTCTGGATTTTCACTATAATAATGGAAGGCGATTATAAATGTGACTTAATATTTTATGGAGTAAATTTTGCATTCAAATGTCTCATCGTAACAATAATATACATCTACCATGCAAATAAATATATATAACATATAATAGTGTGGACGATAATGGACTTTTACTATCTAATCTTCCCGAGCCATAAGGAAGACTAGTTGGTCAATTTCTGGGGGATATAGCATTGAACAGTATCAATGCACCATCTCCATGGTCTCCTCCTCTTCTTGTCTCTTCAATTAGTCCAATTGCAACATGTATCTTATACTAGTTGGCACGCATGCCTAAATGAAATTGGACTCGCAGGCTTATAGTAATAATAATAACAATAACGGACTCGCAAGTCCAAAATGATTAAGAGCTCGCAGGCCCAAAATAATTATAATAATAACGGGCTCGTAGGCCCACAAAACAACAAGAATAAAAATCAACAATTCAACACATCCATATAGTCGAGTCCATAATCATCCACTAATAATATATTCATCACATAAATGTATGTATATATAATATCTAATATTATATCCTAACATGTTTCAAATTTCTAGCAATTAAGATCGTCTAAACTCTTTTAGACTTATGGATCGGAACAATTAAATAATTAATTAATCATATTAATCAATTATTTAATTAGCGTGCATGTTTAATTAAAATCAAATTTTAATTAAATACCGAATTAGATTCCAACTCTAATTCAACAATTATAGAGCGGGATAATTTAATTAAAATCAAATTTTAATTAAATATCAAATTAGAGTCAAACTCTAATTTCAAAATTTAATGCAGTTGAATTTAATTCAAATCAAATTTTAATTAAATAACAAAATTGGAGTCCAACTCTAATTCCGAGATCTTAGGGCGAACATGTTTAATTAAAATCAAATTTTAACTCTAATAATAAATAAAATTTTAGGGCAACACAATTTAATTAAAATCAAATTTTAATTAAATGTCATATTAGAATCCAATTCTAATTTTAAAAATATAATCGGGTGAATAATGAATTAAAATCAAATTTTAATTAAGTGTTAAATTAAAGTCAAACTCTAATTTAAATTGAATTAATATTTTAATCTAGGATAACACTCCTAAATAAAATAAAAATTCAATTGGGTCAAAGTTAATATTTAAGTTAAAATCATATTTTAACGAAAATATAAAAAATCGTCAATTTTAAATAAAATGTTAAATCGGTCAAATTTGAATTTAGGGTCAAACCCATTTAAAATATAATTTTAAAACTATTTTAAAATTCAAATTCAAAACAATTTTGATATTGCATTTTGACCCAAATTTGAATTTAACGACAGGGCCCCCGATATTTCAAAATTGCACATAAAACCACCTTTATATATAATTGCAGGCAGGGTCCTTGATATTAAAACCTTTTTGCAAAAATAACCCTTATTTAAAAATTTAACAAATTGACCCCTAATATCAAGTTGCAGGCGAGGGCCTACAATTTCGTAAATTGAAAATGAAGCCCCCGCCTCCAACACGCCAGAGCCTGATTTGTAAACCCTAAAATTCCTTATTCTTTTTTTTTTTAGTTCTTTTTTAGGTGGCATCGGCTGGCAATGACAGGCGCCTACTCGGCGTGTGTCACTGCTGTGTGACAGCAGTGGCTGTGCGCAGTGGTCCAACAGTCGGCTTCGAAAACGGCCCCCGCTGCAATCCAAGACGAAGCCGCAAGCTGCGACGCCGTGTCTTCTTCTTCATGCAGTGCTGCCGCCGTTCTTCCGCCCTTTCACGCCGACAGCAAGTGTTGTCGGCCCATAATTTTATCATTATTATTATTATTATTATTTAATTATCATATTTCGATCCAAGATTATTTTTTTATTCAAAACAATTTTTGAACATAAAAATAAATCTCTAATCGCTAGAAACAATTATAAGAACAAAATCAACTTTTGATTTCTTCCACATGTAGATCAATTCCTAACAAACACAAAATATGCTCTGATACCACTGTTGGGAATCTACTTATACATGCACAGTGGAAAATTAAAATTATTTCAATTCTCACCGAGGATCCCTTTGTGTTTAGATAGAAATCGTGATAAAAATTGTACCTTTGAAGAATTCTGCGAACTCCTTTGCGTTATTTTTGTTCCAGCAACTTGAATTTGCCTCCCACAACTGTCCAATTATCTAGGCTCCATTAAAATCCACACAGAGAATAGACTGCAACTGCTGGGATTTTTCCTCTTGTGCCAGTAAAAATTATGAAAACAATATGGATCTTAAACCCTAGCCATGTATATATATAAACCCAAACGAGCTCGGCCCGGTCCGATCCAATATTTAATTAATCCATTTAATTAAATCCGGTCCATGAATTAATTAATCCAATTAATTAATTCGAGGATATAAATAACTAATCCAATTAATTAATTCATCCAACGATTGTTAAATTAATTAATTGTCAATTTGCAATCTTCCAATTCTCTTTTGTGTGCGACCCATCAGGTTCCCGATCACGATGCCTAACAATGTAAAATATTATTTTGAACTAATCAAAATTGATAAATTAAAATACCCTTTTTATTTATCATCAATTTACACTCGCTGTCCCAGATTGACATCTAGCAATGTGTGATGACAATATATGTGACGGAAAATGTCATGTGGTATGACAAAATAAAACTCGTTCGTTTAGCGTGAAACTATAATCCCTTCGTCAATATGATCCGATCAATTACGAGGTACGGAAGTATGTCAATCTCGATTATCGATCATATCTTTCACTCCACTATTAAGTCAATATAAGTCGAAAACTTCTTTTCGACTTATGAGTACACTTTGACCAAGGATTTCATCATCGACTTAATTGAATGAAATGCAGACCATAATCTCCTACTATTTAAGAGTGACGAATCCTTTATTGGTCAATCACAACCTTCATACGATTCTTGACGTACCCGAACGATATCGTTTTCGCGGCCCTTTGCACAGCAAGGTCCAACACCGTCAAAGTATGACTGTCCTCATATAAGGTACCATGATGACCTCAAGTCAAAGGACCAATTCCACTACCGAACATTAAAGATTAACCACTGACACTCAGATAGTTATCCATGTGGAATCTCTCGACAGGTCTCTAATGTTTTGTTCTATAACAAAATATCTACGTGTTCACTTAAGTGTCACTATACTTTAACTTGTGAGATCAGCTACTTATTTCATAAATAAGAAATGTCACACGTGATGATCTATCCGTAATAACAATATCCGTATCTCTTATTACTTGCGACCACGGACGATTTAAAATTCAATCAGATGTAATTTGTATCTCACAATCACAACTTCTTGTGATTAACAAATTACGAATATTTGAATTTACGGACTCTATTATTTATTTGATTGTCTATTCATTAAATAATAGATCTGCCGTTAAATTACATTAATTATATATCAAAAGTATTTATATCCAAAGTTGATTGGACCTAGGGCATAATACTTACAAAAACCTCCTGCCCAAGTCTGAATGACCTTGAGAAAAGATTTTTTAAAAAAAATAAAAATAAAAAAAATGCACGTTCAAGTTCCTAAAACGGAGTTGCGTCTTGCAATAAAATGCTTTTCTACACAGAGCATGAAATGTAACTCAAAAAATTACGACTGCGGACGAATTGCTCGAACAATGAATTGATAATTTAAGAGTGGCAATCTATGTAAAGCTTCTTATAATTATTTTTCTTGCACAAGTATTGGAGGGAAAAGAAAGGAAGGTAATCTGGAATCAGAAACTTACCTTAATGGAGCAGCATATTTATAGCATCTGAGTGATTCCACAGAGCTTTGAGGATCGATTCACTCCCTTCACCAACAGACTTGAGAAGATCAACACCCATATAGCTCCTATCAAGATGCAGAGAAAATAGAATAAATCGTTCAAAATGCCACGAATTTCATAAAAGCATTCCTCAAAATTTTGTCTAGGTCAGTTGCATTCTCAGCACAAACCTTGGGCCTTAGATTCCTCTCACATCTTCACTGTGAAATCATATATTGCGAAATCAAACTGACAAACATGAATGATGTTGTAAGTGTTACCAGTAACTTTGGCAGGTCCAACGAGCAAGAGTATGTGCTTCAGGAGTTCCAAGTGGTGAGCGAAGAATAGCTTGCAGACCCAGCTGCGAGGGAGAGAGAGCTAATGCAACCCGTTGAAATGTCAAAAATAAGAATGTGATGAAAGAAGTTAAGGATACAAGTGTGATAATATATAAAAATTAATGACATTTAACGTAATTAAAATGTGATGTCATGTGGTTTGAATATAATAACCCTTTGTAATTAGACATAAATTACAGTTTGGTCCTAAAATTTGTATTCCTACTTATTATTCATATATAAGTAATGATATTCATGGTCGTTCACTACGATAGACGCTCTACGTGATATCTTACATGACAGTTTGTGATTTGATGTATTAATGTAGTAATTTTTTCTTGCCTCGTGTATTAAATCATTGATCGTCACATGTATGTTACATAAGGTGACTACAACAGTAAATCACTGCAAATAGCATTATTCTTTCCATATACTAAGGTGTTGGGCTTTCCCATTTGGGGCACACAAGTGTGCAAGATAAGGCCTGAAGGCTACTAAGATTTGTAGGAGGGAAATATATAAACTACTGAGGTTTCAAAATACAATTTTAAAAATAAGAAAATTGTGAAAAAATTTCAAAAATCTAGTAGTCACATTTTGTGATCTCTGATAAAATTTCACGACCTATAATTTAATTAGACAGGTTACAATCATAATAACACATAATTCATGATCACGTTCACATATTAATATCAATTCATATAAGGTCACAATCACGAATATATAATTCGTGGGCCACAAATCCTTTAGTCATAAATCACACATTCACTACATCAAAGTTTATTTTTTACTCCATACATTGAATGCCGTAAATAACTCTTTATGTCGTATGACAATATGCCTTATAAATCAATGCCGTAAAACGTGATTTTTTTATGACATGCAGAGAATGCCTTGTAGAGAACGCCATTATTAATTTTACGACGTTCAGTGGCACGTCATAAAAAGTATATCACTTTTTACAGCATGTTAAGATGTAGGCCGTATATGTAATACCTTTTGCAACGTTCGCTGAATGCATGCATTAAAATGTGAGATACTTTTTATGGCGTGCCACTGAACGCCGTATAAAGTATTAAATTAACCGCTTACATATGAACATGAGGAAAAAAAAAGTTATGGAATTTACGGCATGCCTAAACACGCCGTAAATATCAATTTAATTTTTTAAAAATTATTTATTTATTTCATTATCAGAAAACATATAATTACAAAACAACAATAATCCACATATAATCAAGTTTTCCGTTGTTACAATAAATAAAAATATTAAGTACGGTTCAACACAATATGTCAATATAAAATTCATCTCAACCATTCTCAAAAATTATAGACTACTGCTTCATAAAAAATGATTAAAACATATCGAAGTTTACTTCTTTGACTGACAATTTAGCTATAACGAAAAATATCAAAATAGGCTTTTTACGACATGCCTTAAATGCAAGCCTTAAAAAGTTACTTTTGTTGTAGTAATTTTATAAATCACAAATTACTTAGTTAAGTGGTTTCAATCAATTTGCATCTCACCCCAAACTTATCTACACCACCCTAGTGATGGCAAAATGGCTCGCGGGCTCGAGCCATCGTAAAAAGCTCGAGTCAAGGCCCATCTTAGGGTGCCAAGTCGAGCCTGAGCCTACCTTGTGGCTCGCTGGCAGCTCGAAATTTTAAAAAAAATTATAAAGGCAGTGTGGCTACTGAAAAAAAAAATTGAGCCGGCTCAACTCAACTCAATAAGGCCCGAACCAAAAGCTCAGTTCAAGCATCTATTTTTTGGCCAAGCCCGAGCCTCGATCTTGCTCCTTGACACCCTATACCACCCCACTTCACCACTATCCACACCACCCAAATTGCCGCAGCCACGTCAAATCCGTCGCCAACTTCACCTCAATTCCACCACTGCCAACGATCACAAATCATGGTCACTATTCTTCTCACCTCACCCATCACCACCACTCTTGATGAAATCCAATCTAAACATGCCATAACTAGTAGAACTACAGTCACTATTAGATCTTACCTCTAGATCTACATTTACTATTAGAATATAAAGTAGAAAAGCATCGATTCAAAACCAATTTTTTAATCACAAATTTTGACTGGGCCACCGCCATTGGGATCGCCGTCATTATCTCTATGGCCAGATCAATGGATTAAGATGGATTACAGGTGAAGGTCTGAGGCGTTTTCTCAAATTCTAAAAAAGTTGGGGAACAATGGATTATTTGATATGGAGGGGTGATGTGAGGTGGGATAGGGTGTACTGTTTATGCGAAATTCATAAGTGTATGAAATTGTTGACAAGCATAACGTGATGAGTAAAGTGTATCATCCTCGAGGAATAAGCTTTAAATTGAAATATAACAATTCATTATCAAATTCGAATGTAACTAACAAAACAGATGATTCTATTTATATCTAAATTAATATATTAATTCTAGCTAAAAATAACTAATTACGTAATTGAAGATCAAACAATTAAATAATTCAACAAATTATATAAGACCAATCAATAACACAAATTAACTAAACTACTTGGTTTTTGAATTAAAAATAAATAAATAATAATACTGATAAAGTTCATTTCCGCTCCAACACAACAAATCTAATTTAGCATGTTTCTAAAGATAACAATATGGGAATTAGAAAATCATAACTACGGATGTAAGCAAGCTGCGTCGAGCCGGCTTGCAACCCAAAGTTCGCGGCCTGCACAAAAAATGGCATGGACCTTTTTAGCTCTAGTCAAGCCGAGCAAAACTCAGACGAAAAATCAAGGCTTAACTCGAGCTTTAGGCTCGGACCTTACCGAGCAGAGCAAGCCTTGTCGGCCTATTTTTTTCTATATATATATATATATCTGCATAACGAAGACTAGCTAGAAATCCTCAATAGAGTGGAGGGACTCAGATTCTAGGAAGAAAGTTAGCTTAATTAATTAAGATCTGTAACCAAAAACTTCATAAGAAAATTAAAAATCAAATACAATCCAAGCCAACTTTATGAAGTTTACAATTGGTAGATTAATATTTGATAAAATACATATGAATGTAAAAATAACTACTAATTTTCCATTGTAAGATCATCCATATCTCTAGTAATGGCAGGAATGCAGCTTGAACTCCTAAGAATTCCACCCTTCTTTGTTGCATCAGTATTATCTCTAGCACCCATGGATTTGCATCTAACTTGTCTCTTCTTCAAGATTTCTTTCATGGCTTCAGCTTGATAAAGAATTGGATAAGCCCTTCCAAATTTGTTAAACCTAACGCATGCATGTATATGAGAATTCAACGCTTCCTCTCTATTTCCACCATTTTTATCAGTTTCTTCTTTAACTGCTTCGGCGCAAAGCCCACAAATCCACTTCCCGAAGAACTTATCGCGCACTTGGCCTACATACTCGGGAGTGCATTCTTCGCTCATGCCACAGCATTCGCATTTCGCATCTTCAATTTCAGAAATCGGTGGCAGATTTTCCAAGTCTGCAACCTCTTTGCTTAGCTCGAAAGATATGTCAGATATTGTTCTTTGCAGGTTATTGTTCTTTGAGGGTTTGCACGAGTGTAGGGTATTGGAAGAGTTCCTAACAATGGCCTCTCCATGTGGTGCCATAATGATGATGAATTTGATTTTCAAGCCTCAGGAAACCCTAATATGATGACAATGTTAAGGCTCAGGAAAGCCTAATGAGAACTGTGAAGGGCTATGACTTACAAAAGTTATATAGAGATAACCAGTGTATTGAAAATACTTGAAAGCTTCTGTTGGACGAATAAGTGATCATATGAGTGGACCTATTTATAGTTGATTTGCCTTTATGAATTGAGAAATACTGAAAAGAACATTTAGTGGACCATGGAAACTCCCATGTCACTGTACAACTTTCACTTGGACAGTCTTGAATATGCTAGATTTTCATCAGAATCTGTGGCTTAAAACAAGAGTGTTTATTGGATGAATATCTTTTTCATTTTCAAAGAAAACATGTTTTCTTTATAGTTATTACAGAGTGAGACATCGTCGTTGACAATAGTTTCATTATCGAGAGTATCTTAATAATGGGAAAGTCTTCATTATCAAGGAAAGAATTCGTCTCCATCAATCTAAGAAAAACAAATGGCCATGAGTAATTGGGGGTCCATACTATTTCCTTGGTTGAGCATTACGTGATGTGTTGGTTTATTATGATAATAAAAAAAAAATAACAATAATAATAATAATAATAATTGGGTTATGGTCAAATCTTTGGCATATAATTTTTTTTGTTCTTTTAATTCATAAAATTAGTTCAACAATTTTTTTTTTACCTGTTTGATAAAATTTAAAATTTATATTTTAATCTAAATGAAAGTTAACAATTAATTTTAATCATTCATTTCATGAAAACTAACTTTTCAACTACATGTTTCATCAATTTTTATCAAAATCTACTAAAAATTTGATTTTGATCTCCATCAAATAGGGGCTCACTAAAATTAAACTAAAAAAATAGCTCACCTTAAGATGTAATCGTAGGTTTGAAACCTCTAGCACGACATGTATACCTAGTTAATTTGGAATAATTTATCATATAATTGTAAAATTCGAGTAACTATAAAAAGGATAGATACAATTTAGTAATTTGAAAACGATAAAATGAGCTAAGTTAATATCATCAAGGGTAAAAATTTAGACATAAATATTAAAACAAGGGCTTTGGTGAGCACTGAGCACTTTTAATAAGATTGACTTTATAAAATAGAAGACATAGAAACTCAATATACTAAATCAAACTCTAGAACGCTCAAATGACCAAGTCGATCAATCCATCCAAAGTGTAAACAAGTAGATGAATTGTAAGATTGATATTCTCAAAAGATTCACTATTTCGTGAGGACGTATTAAAAATATATATAAATAAAGACTCAGTTACTCCTCTTCAAAAAATCGACCTTTTAAGAAGACCGCCCTCAATACGGATTTCAAAAATATAGTTTTCATGTGTTTATGTTTCACAAGAAATTATTGCAATAGAAATTAGCTTTGCCCATAAAATTAAAATATTGCACAAGCTGCTTGGTTTCACATGACTAATGTTTTTAACCACATAATAAAATTGATTTAAGAGTCACAAGCTTCTTGAAATAAAGAAGAAAAGTGGTTTTATGGCAACAGTATCTTTTCATGCTTGCAAATGGTTAGAAATTCTACCTTTCAGGGCTTGGGTTTAATTGGATCATCAATTCTCACATGACTGATAATGACTCCACAAATATTTTTCCCATCAAAATTTTTGAAAAATCGTAAAAAATGAATTTTGTTGCATAAACAAACAACCTTTAATGTCTTCATAATTTCAAAAAAAAAAAAAGGAAAAAAGAGGAGGAGGAAGCGTCTCTATAATCCTAAGGTGCTATGATTAATTGTGAAATACACCACTGCTGGTGAATAACGTTACTGTATATATGGTTTTGTGCTCAATTAGATCGAAAAATACCAAATTTAGAGTCGATAATTGAAAACATATATAATATTTCTATATATCCAGGTGTACAATTGTTCAAATGCGTAATGAATAATAACAACACCCCAACATTGAATTTCTAGTCCGTCTCTATGAATGCACTTGACTAGGCGTAAAAATAAATTAGATAACCACAGACATGGTGACTCGATCTCGATCCTAAACTTAATATCGAACGACTCGAGACGCTTTTCATTTTTTATCATTTTTCAAAGTAAAATTTAACATTTCATAGATGCCGCTGGGGCATTTCTTTTCTAAATTTTATAAATATACCACAAAGTTTGTCATTTATCACGTCCAACCCGGCATATCAAATAAGCAAATATTTAGCAAGTAAAATAAGATAAAACAAAAATAACAGCTAAGAGAAAAGCAAATGAAATAGCCAAAAGAGTTTGATTACTGAGGAGCCAAACTAAGCGACAGTTTTTAAGGTTCTATCCAAGAAAAGCAGAGTACGACGAAATGGCAATCCGTTTTTGAGTACTTTGTTGTTCAGGTTCCTCTAATCCACACCCATAACTTTACACGAATGACC